TTGATATTTGAATGATTTTTTCTATTTTAAATCAACCATGAAACAGAAAATGTTTGTAAAATCATTCAAGACACTTAACTCATATAGTAGAAAAGGTTAACTCTTTACAAGCTGTAAAAGGTTACGATATTTTTTTTTCCTGTACAATTTCATAAATACCTAAACCATCAGCTATGGTTAATGAATCTCCATTCTATAATCACCCTCAAATGTTGTCCTCAACTGTTTTTCCTAATTATAAAATACGTTAACTATCATGACATTTCGAATGTATTAATTTTAATTTCATTTCAACGCGAATAAAATAAAAAAAATTGAGATTAAACCTTTAATAAAAACATCTTAAAAACTTCATTAAACTAAAAAAAATAAAATGTATAAATAAATAAAATAAAGCAAAACTGGAGTAAAACACAATACACGATTCTAAAATGAGATTTAGTTGTATAATTCAGTGCGATTAACCAAAATTAAATTAAAATCATATGTAAATAATTCGTTTACAAATTAGTACTATGAATGGAGAAGCTCATGAATGGGATGAGTCGTACTAGTAATGACAGTGTAGTAAAACCGGTTGTAGGTGACCTTTCAAGGTCAAGGTGAAGGTCAGATAACGTGTCATCTTCTCAGCTGGGTCATCTGCCTTTCATTACAACTTCACTACTACATACTCAAGTTAAGACTAGAGTTACTTGTTAGCCAAATCGGCAAGGGTTGAATCTTATTTTAATATTAATAATAACTTTTTGATTTTAAAATAACCCAGCGTTTAACAACGTTTTAATAATTACAGCGTTCAATTATTGATGTAAACTGTAGGGTTTTGAAATTTTAGTTTATCGGAATACAATTTGATATTATTTATGAGCAAAGTAAGAAGTAGTGGAGTAATTTGTGTTTAGTTTTTGTTGTATATATCTGAGGAGTGAGCCAAGGACAAGGTACATAAACCTCATAAATGAGGTCTCCAAATTAACCAGTTACCATTAGTTGTGAGTAGTTATTACTTTTCCAGAAGTTTTTCTGAATGGATCTTAAAAGTCAGTTTTTACTTCAGATTCTCAGGTTCATGGAGTGTTATGAATTAGTCAAATACCTTTCAGATTAAATTATGATTTTCAATTGAATAATCTACTATTTGTATCAAATCACTCTACTTCTGTATATTGCATGGATGAGGGGTTAAGCTTATATTTGTTAAATATATTTCCAAAGACGAGGCACTTAAGCATATCGTAGACTGTGCGGTCAAGATTATTTGTCAGTTCTATTTGCTTGTTAAAACACGTTTGTGTAAACCACTTGCAGTCTGTGTAAGACAACTTACTAGAGTAAATATAAAATAACAGAAGAAAATTAATTTTGATGGTAAGTTAAAACTAATATCACTTAATTCAAAAACGTTCAAAATCCATAAAAGTGTGGTATAACTATATAGACCCACTATAAATAATAAAAAGTTAAATAAACACAATAAAAGACTAATTGAACTAAGCTAAACTCATAGCTAACTTAATAACGAAATGTATGGAGACGGTGCAGTCATACAATAACCTTCTCTATGTAGTGATTCTTTTCTCTAGGTCAAGGTCAGCTGTACCTGTAACGTAACTGTTACTTTTTCTCATCATTGTCCTTCTACAGTCAATGACTACTGAAGGAATATGTAACATAGTATACAGTATAGTCAGGTGAGATGACAATAACCCACTTTACAACTCTTGTACAGATTGTAACTAAGTTCAAGGCCAGCAGTACATGTAACGTTAGTTCTTCTAATGATTGTCTTTTGAGAAAAGTCAATGTCTAATAAACTATACTCATGTATCGTGGTACGCAGTATAGTCAGGTGAGGTGACAATAGACCACTTTACTGCTCTAGTAGTCACAACCTACATAGTAGTTAGTTACTATACATCCAGGTCAATGCCAGTCGCACCTGGCATGCATCCTTCTCTTAATATTGTCACTCTCTTTTGCAAATGCCAATTAAATTAATCTTTTGTAAAATAATTAATGTGAACTGGAATAATTTAGGAAAGCTGTGATTATTTTTCATCTTATGTCATTGTACCCCCCGTGCTAAGGTCCTAATAAAGTTTTTCATACCTAATGCATCTGATACCCGTAAAATGTGATTAGTCGTAAAATATTTAGCATTCATAAATCATTGCAATAAATATGTGGTGTTCTTACTACTTATGGTTTCTTGAAATAAACTGACACATAATTGCAATATATACTTGGCGTATTATAGTTTTTGACATAGGTTACAATATATCTTTAACAACTATAAAATTTAATCCTTATAGATGCAATATGTAAAATCTGCCATAGTTGTTCCAAAGATGACATTTGAACAAGAACAATAAACATTTTTTTTGTAACGATTAAAAAAGTGTATAGGTAAAAACCTTAGATACCAAATTCATCGCCTTTTCATCAAAAGCACTCATGTTACTCATGTTACTTGCATGTTTATATCTTAACTCCTTTGTCAACTTTAGTATTTAGATCTAGCTTTTTAACATGTTCTAAGATTATTTAACCAGAGTAGCTTAATCTTATTTAACTGTAAAATAAACTGCTTATTTGTTTGTTTTTATTACTGGTTTGTCGTGCTTTTTAATAATGTGTATTGTCAAATTGCATTTTATATGAAAACATTAAGTAAATTTGATAGATTATTCATATAAATATAGTCAAATTAAATTAAAAAGTTGAACAATGTGTGATACAATGTTATTAGTTAAGTTTCATAATATAATTTTGGGGACACGTTTCATCATACTGATTAAATTCATGGTAAAAATGTCATGTGTGAGTGTGATTACACACTTATGTCATAAAATAACGTAAACCCAGCATAACCAAAAATGTACTTAAAAGAAAGGGACAATGTATAAGAAAAATGTAATTGATGATGGAAGGATATGCACAAGGAAGTAGCATTTACAAAATAGGAAAAGTATATATTTGGCAGCAACATGAAACTTAATTTTACTAATCCAGGATGGTTTCTAAACTATGTACAAAATGACGGCTTGCAGTCGTTATGTTTTCTCCTGAAAATAATGAACAAATAAATTAGTAGAAAATCCATAGAATAAACTAAACTACTGTACACCAAACTAGTTAGTTTTATAAGTTTCACCGTAGTATGTAACTCTTTATACCAAGTATAAACATGCTTACGAAAACTGGGATTAAAATGAAAGCAGACAGAAAGTTTATAATACAGATATTGTCAGTATTATATCATGAAGAAAATCACATACAGAGTGTTTAAGGAAATAATTTTGTATCTTTGAAATTTTGAATAGGCTTAACTTTTAATTTATTTACATTAATTGTTTCAGTACAACAATATACCAATGTACGTCAAGATCTTTTCTTTTTCAATTAATCATGATGATAAATAGGAATGTAATAAACATTTTAAAAACATTTGTAATAAAATTTTCCGTAGTGTATAAAGAGCTTTAAATACTAACTTTGAACCGTTGTAGATATCTTTTGCAAGATACGTGATGGTTCTCCGTTTAGGGATTGGGAAAATGTTGTGGCTTTCGATTTCAGAAAATGGCTCAAAAGTGATTAAGAGAAGTAATACAGTCTTTCTAAATAAAACATTTTGCTTGTACGGTATAAGACGTGGAAGCCACATTGGACATTTATGTGTTTATGCAAAACTGGAAAACGTTAGTATTTTGAAAAGTTATGACCTGAATTACCTGTAAATAAAACTGACAATCAATTACAAACTGTTGCCAAAAGTTCCTTTTGGAACACCCTAACCATCTCACATTTCAAAGTGATTTCTTAACAATACATGCAATTGTAAACGCCATATCTCGAATGTATTTCCAGATCAGAATGATTCTTGGCCGAACACATATTTTTGCATAACCTGAATGGCAAAATCATGTTATAGCAGAACCGGGTATAATGGTGTGGGCGTATTTACTTTCGGGGTGAATAAACGCAACTGTACAATGCGAGCATTGCACTCACGACGGTCGAGATAACAATCGAATGTTCGGTTGCTGAGGTCCTTATGTGGGTTTGTCGTGATACGATAAAGGAAGTGATACGGCCCCGGGCAAGTACCTTATTAGGGAATGTTGCAAACCGTATAGGTAATGTCCGGGATTAGGCATAACTGGGATAAGGTTATGTTGATGCGCAGTTTTTGCCGCTGAAGCTTTGTTAGTTTTCTGGATTTGTATAGGTCTTGAGTGTTTATTTTAGATGTCAAGTGATTGTGGTTGATCTGTGGGTTTAAAATAGCGAGGTTTCAAACGCAAAAAGAAATGTAGTTGATTGATTTGAAAAGAAGAAGGTGTGACGTAGATCTTTATTACTCATTCATCAAATATAGCAGTAAGGGATACAAATGTTTTATTTCCGTTGAATTTTGAAATCTGCACCGATGTGTGTTCAGTATCATATTTTTTTTATAGGTTAACTATTTTCGGTAAACACAGTAGAGAAATGTTAACACTCGAAAGATCTAGGTTTTAGAATTCAGCTGATCTTGCTATTGCTCAATGCTTTGAGAAAATGCGTTTTGGCAGCTTTATTATGGAAACTAAAGAAATCACTGATGATTAAAGTGATTAAGTGATCCCCATTCTACCGCCACTGCAGCAGAGATATCTGAACCTATATTATCCCAGATTCTAAAATGAGTTGTCTACCTGGCCAGCTAAATATAAACATAAATAGGCATAAGCTAATTTTTTTGTGTTTTAAGCTTATCCTCCTTTACTCAAAAAAGGTTTTATTTTACTGACTTCTGTTTAAGTGTTATAGCTTGTCCTTGACGTGATTCCCCGACATTTTCTGGGATTATTCCCGTCTTTGTCACTAACTCGTATGTGAAAATAAAGCCCCTTTGGAAATAGTCACTCTTGATACATATAATGAAATATACTATTACTAGTAAACAATTTGGTCTGTACTTCATACAAAATGTTTAGCTACTTACACTTTCAACACTCAGGCCTGTGTTCATGGACGACAACAGGTTTGGGAACCGCTACAGCCACATCCCTATACACCGCGACAGGCACCGGCCTGGCCACAGGCACGGCTACAGGCTTGTAAACAGGATACGGCACAGGCTGCGGCACAGCGTACGGCACTCGCCTCTCCACAGGATAGGCTACATGCTTCACCACAGTCACAGGGTAGGGCCGGGACACGGGCACAGCGACAGGCCTGTCGACCGGAACTGCGACAGGTTGAGCCACAGGCACAGCAACGTCACGATGGACTGCGACAGGGTAGGGCTGAGGAACCGGGACTGCGACACGGTTGGTTACAGTCACGTGTTGTCCTAGGGCTACAGGGGTACCAACACCGAGGGTGGTGAGCGAGGAAAAGTCTGGTGAACCACCTGAAATAGAGGCTGAGGAGAGTGATGGGAAGGATGCAGAAATACTGTTTGAGGGGAAAACTGAGAAGGATCCAGGAGAAATTCCGGAGAATCCAGAAGAAAGTCCTCCACTAGGATATCCAGATGAAAGTCCTGAAGAAAGTGTTACAGTAGGATATCCCGAAGAAAGTCCTCCACTAGAATATCCAGATGAAATCCCCGAAGAAGGACCTGTTGTGGGATATCCTGAAGAAAGTCCTCCGCTAGAGTATCCAGATGAAAGTCCTGAAGAAAGTCCTACTGTGGGATATCCTGAAGAAAGTGCTCCGATGGAATATCCCGATGAAAGTCCTAATGTGGGATATCCTGAAGAAAGACCCCCGCTTGAATATCCCGACAGCCCTGAAGAAAGTCCTCCAAAGTTTGAAGACCCATCGGACGATCCAAGGCCAGATGTCAATGACCCTGAAAGACCTCCTCCAGGCAGACTGGTGCCCAGGTTTCCAATTTGTCCACCAGTGATGCTTCCGGTACTTTCATAAAGGGACCTTTTGTTTTGATTTTGATTTTTTCCCGATGCACTTGCCGAGTGGAGAAGCAGAATCGAGAGAAACACCTAAAACAAAAGTGTATTTATAAAAAAAAGCTATGCTTGGTAAAACAATAAAATTTGCGAACTAGTTCTAAGTTGTGAATCTTTATGGTTATTGGTTTAAAGTCTCAGAATAAAGTTTCCCTACAAGAAAGATGTAATTTGTAAATTGGAATTTGCATTAGGCTACCAATACTGTGCAAATTTTTTGAAAAACTCCAAGATATCAAAATTATAACCAATTTAAATTCAAAATATAAATTAGTTGTTACTAATTTTCTTTCTTAGGAATTTTAAGAGGTAGATGGGCTCTATGTACTTTGAACTTGTCTGTCTACATTGACCTCAGAGGCCTGTTTGTGGTACGTCTTAAGAAAAATGAAGTGTTACATTACAGTACGAGAATTAACCGTACTAAAAAGTATTATTTGGAGTTGTAGTATGCAAACAAACGAAATTTCTGCTTTGTTTTCACAGTGCGTTACGCCGATAGAGCCACTGACTCACTAAGAAGCTTATAAATAGCAAATAAAATGTTATTACTACATTAAAACTGTTCGATAATCAGGGTATGCTTGTTTTCAAACATATTTATAACGGAAGTACTCAATCTTTGACACTTAAAAATATGGTGTTAAAAAATCATCAATTTCCACATTCTATTACAGGGTTATTACAGGATTTTTCTCTGCTACATTCCTTTTGCATCTGTCTTATTTAACAGATTTTTACCACTGAGGTGTCATTTTAAAGCTTATGATTTAGGTAGTGACAAAAGGACTAAAAAGCTAATATCTTTTCGGGCTTTGCCCCCAAGATTTTGATTTATTCTTAGAGATTGATTCCTCGATCCAGTGAAGCTGACAAACGTTCTGTTAACGGTTGGATTATATGTTTATTGTAATTTAACAGCTGATCCTTCAATTGGGGTTTTAGTTAAGCCAGATTGTAATCAAGAGACGAAACAGTTTATGGAACCGAATTTTAAATAGATAAATTTTATAATTATGTTTAAATGGAATATTTGCACATGGGTTCACTCGTACTAATCAAACACGAGTAAAATAAAAGGTAACAGCAATATGACACATACTTCCCCCCATAAGCGTATCAACAACCTTTATCATGGGTCAGTGGTAGGAGTAAATATTATATTTTATAGTTAAAAATCACAAAAGTTGCAATATTTTTTGACCGTAATTTTTGCAGCAATGGGGGTTGTACTATATTTTTTTTAGGAATATGAGGACTATAACATATTAGTTTTGATAAAAACCAAGTTATTTCAACAATCCGACTTTTTGTTATTTTATAGGAAAATAACATAGGTCACAATAACTTTTGAACCGTAATTTTTACGGAAGTGGGATTTGTACCATTTTGTTCAGAATTTAAAGGACTATTACATACAAATTTTTTATGAAAATCGTTTAGGCCATTTTCAAGAATATCTAACTTTCCCGTTATTTTATGGTGTTTTATGGGAAAATCCCCATTACAATCAAAATCTACAAAAAAATGAAATAAATATCTGGAGATACTGTGGATTAGTACCTACATACCAAATTCCATAAAAATCTGACCACAGGTGTGGTCATACCTGACCATAGGTGTGTAGCTCTGTGCACATCCACACGCACTGACACCACTTTGAAAACCACTTTTTGGTGTTCAGGTGGGCCCAAAATGGATATGTCCACTCAAAACTCAAATTAAAAAATTTTGACGAAAACAATACGTTCCTCCATATACTATGTATAGGGGGGGAACGTAATTACATGATAAAGTGAAAATCTAATGAAAACAGTGGCAATGGACGAATAATCAGTCCAACCTCTAACCTGTGACGCAAGTTTATTGAAGACCGCGCGCGCAAAAGCGGCGAATCACACGACGTTTCGAAATTAATTACTCAGCCCTTGCTCACGTTCACGAGTTTCCGCTGCGATCAGCTGATTAACCGCTGTGTAATAACACATAAACCGACTGCGATCAGCTGATTAATTGCAAGGCCGGGCTCTCATTTCGTCACTCTTCGCTGGTCGCGTAAACTTGTTTTATGGTTTAGGTGGCGAATGGTTGAAGTTATTTATCCATAGTAATTTTATTACAATTAAAATTCGATCGAGGCCTATTTGGGTGGATTTGATTTCGTGAATTTCGGTCGTGTACGGATACGTTCTATACAGTTTCCTGTAATTTTCTGAATATTAGTTGCGACGATAAACTGTTTCAGTATAATCCATTAATATGGGTGGTATTTTTCACATTACTATTATAACATTAATTTAAAAGTAATTAGTTTATAAGTTACCTTTTCCCAGATCAGTACAAAACATGTCTATGGTTGCTTTGATTAGTTAATCTAAACAGATTTTTTAAATTGAGTTTAATTTTCAGATAATTAGCTAATAATTTTGATAAAAATAAACATATAAAACAGTCGAACGAATTAAGAAGAAATAGCGTCAGAAATATTGTGAAGAACTTGTTGAACGAAAACATAATAACATTTTGCAAAGGTACGTTTTAAGATTTACAGTTTCATAAAAATTCCTTACAGTAGATAGCGTATATTTTTGAACCCACATGATCTATCACTAACGATGTGATGTTTCCCATCATCATTATTATAGTGGTTTAAACTTTGTACGTTGTTGTACATAACTAAACATCAATAATAGTTTTAGACTGAAGAAAATTTATTTTAATTGTATTATAAAGAGGATTTCTGGTTTTAGAAAGCTCTAAAATATGTTTAAATATGTCCTACATAAAAATTGTTGGAGTGGGAAATTTACTTTCCGGTCCTAAAATATTTACCAGTTAATCTTTCTGAAAAAAACCCTATGGAGCTTAGAGGTTTATTTTTTCTCAGTTAAAGTAAATATTTCTGTAATAAATAGTAGTCTGTAATAAATATCGGTTCTATTTTGTAGCCTATTGAACTACCGGAATGGTATTCGCCACATTTACGGAAAACAATTGAATAGGCCTAGTGTTACTTGTATAAAAAATATAGAAATCATCTTTACTTTTGTTCTATATTTAAACATAAAACTCTTCATACAAAATACTTCCAAAAGATTGGAGTTAAAATATAATCATTGTAATTTAAAGAGTGATTACATTTATTTAAATAACCAGTGGTTTAGATATGTGGGTATAACCACAGAAAACGTACTGTTTTCTGTGGTATAACGTAGAATTGTAAAAAGAATTATAAAACATTTTAAAAGACTTATATTTATAACGGAAATAATAATTCTATAATATTATAAACGATTGCGAAAATGTGTATGACCTTTAGACAAAAAGGTTTTGTTATCATTTTAATAAATAACCCTCATTTACACATTGTCATTTTACAAACACAATTGACTAATACCATATGATTAAATGTCGGCTTTAATTATTTATTTTTTGCAAAACTTCAAAACATAAAAATATAATCTGGGAAATAGTTTTTTAAGAGGTTGGTGGCCACTTTTAACCTTGCATTTGCGCGTCCACATAGACTAACTGCCCGTGCGTAAATCGTATCCAGCAAAGCAAGGGGTCTGGTACAGTACGAATGTGGTTTGATTAATCAATTAACAACCAATATATTTAGCAACAGAAAAATTCATAAACCTAACTGAGTCCTACAATGCAATTTCCCTCATACAAGGGATTACGAATTCAAAACTCTAATTTCAAAATAATTACCTAAATGAAATAAAATTATTTTGTTACAAAAATAATTAAAAAAACTAAACTATATTGCTTACCTTCACGGACATGGCTGGGGAGTGTGTGAAATGTAGGAGTTCTTTGGTTCTCTTATATTCCTCCGTTTAGAGAAAACTTCCCCAAAGGTCACCAGACCTGGCTTTATGATACCTTCTTTTTGCATAATGATCTTTTGGCTCATCTAGAAAGTAAACAACTGGTGAGATATTACAATGTAATAAACGCTATCAAGAGAATTTGACTGTTCCTAATTCATTTGAAAAAATAGTAAACCTACAGACTATTAGTTTGGTCAACCATTTGCGTTTTATATTGGTAAAGTTGAGTTGAATGATTTGAAACACATTACGCATTTAAAAGATATTGTAGTGTACTCCTTTAGAAAAACGGTTAAATATGAAGAGGATTTCTACATTTAATGGCAACTGCTAAATAAGTATTGTAGCTAGGAATAAACACTTATTAAATATACCCCTGCCACAGCAAACCTGCAGAGTAAGCAAATTTCCATTTGCCCGATTATATATTTAGTAAAATATCTCCTTAAAAATGCCAGATTTGTTGCCAGATTTAAATGACGAAAACATAGGTTTGCTGCTACAGAGAAGTTAATAGAGTAAATATTTAGTAAATTAGTAAAGACTATATTCATAATCAAGCAAACTACAACAGTTTACTCAATCCCCATAAGAATAACATGGACAATTTTTATTTACAGTTTTTTTAATATATATTATCCATTAACATGAGGCGCATAACAATGCTGCAACATAAAAAATTAGTTTGTTTTCAAGCTCTACAAAATGGTTGAAAGAAAATACAAAGTTTTATGTTTTTAAAGCCGAAAAGGGGAAACCTATTTTGTAACCTAAACAATTCCCCATAAACCTAAGTTACCATAGTCCGATCGTGCTGGTTCCCGGGACAAAAATAAATCCCGGGCCCAGGTCATACCATAAGACATACGGTAATAGCATTTTCCCCCCAAATGGGAAATCCGCTAAAATGCAAATTTTTTCTGTAATTCTAGCCTGGTATAAAACTCTTTTATACGACCAACTCGGGACCCGATTACGATTTGGCCGCATAAACTGATGTGCTATAGAAACATATTTAACCCAGATCAGTTTTAATTTCGTGGTTACAGTAGGATTAATATACTGTATAGAATATTTGAATAATTATTATTAATGAATTTTATATGTATAGAGTAATGTCTAACTTTGTAAAGAATATTGTATACTTACTGTATGAGTTTTACCATAATCAATGGTTTTACATTATAAATACATTCGTGAGAATAATTGGGTGGGAAAATTGGCAAAAAACGGGATTTTTCGAAGTTTGAGGAAAATCACTCAATAACAAACTATTTTAGTATCAAAACTTTATAAAAAAATTATCGCTTTGTCTAGAAACCGTAATACTTTTAATATGATTTTCTTAGTTTGAACTACCTAATTAATTGCTTCTACAATATTTACAAAGATTTTTAACCAACCAAAAAGTACAAAATTCAAATTAATTTCAGAACTTAAAATCAACACCCTTCATAACCCTCCTTCTACCCAGAATGTCCCTTATCACCTCTCGAGTTGGTCATCCTCAAGTTCCAAAATTTATAAATAATGCACGTGTAAGAAATACGATACATTTTTGTGCTTCGTTTCTTGGTATGAAGTACTAGTACTTCTTACTATTATTACAAATAATAACAAATGACTCATTGAGATTTATAATTTGGATCCATTATTACAAGAACATCACGTTTTGATTAAACATGTTTGATTGTTCAATGGCATATTGATTCGTTGACAGGACGCTTTATAATTCTTATCATTTCGCTTGACAGTTAAAAGGAGTTTTCAATTTATATTGAGATAGGTATCATTGCTTCATTATGTTTTGTATGATATTACTCATCATTCTTAGTTATTATCGCATTTATCTTAAAGAGGTAAGCGAAAATCCAATCAGGTCAATGTAAATTCACTTAGTCTGCAGGTTTGCTGCGGCGGGGGTGCTAGCAACACTTGTTAACTTATCTTTACCTGTTCTTGTATTCCTAGTATCACTTATGAAACTGTGATAAACAGAATTCCCTGTCAATTAAAACTCTTTACCCGTCAACATATTCGTCAGTAGTCTAAATAACGATTGGACATGAGGTAAGAAAACCACTTGAAATAATAGAATTAAGTTTTTATTAAGTAACAATTTGTTTAAAATACTTGAATACATTAACTTGAAATTAACTAAACTAGGTCCTTACGACATCATGCATTAATCCAAGAAAACACGAATCAATAAGTAAAAGCAAGAAGTGTTTTTCCAATATCAATATTGATTCTTTCAAACATTACGTACCACTGAACCCGAAAAGTGGTTTTCGAAGCGATGTGTAAGTGTGTGTTTGTGTGTACAGAGCTATAGACCTCACAGTCCGATTTTGATGAAATTTGTGATTTATGTACTAATCCATAGCATCTCCAAACGTAAATTTTGTATAATTAATTATTTTCAAATTTTGTTTTTCATGGTGATTTTCCAATAAAAAAGCCATACAAAAACGGATAATCGGATGGAAAATAAATGGCTCAACCGATTTTGATATACAGTTACTATGTTAATTTTCATTTAACTTCAAACAAAAGTATTCAACCCCCATTACTGTTAAAATTACAGTACAAAAGTTATCACTACGTTTGTGATTTCCTCATTAAATATCATAGTTACTCCAACAGCGTACACGGGTTGTTGACAAGCTTATGGGAGAAAGTATGTGTCAGATTGCTGATACCGTTTATCTTATTCATCTTCAAGAATAATGTCATATGAAGAAAATATAGTTGATCACACCGGCCAATAGTTTTCCGGTGGTTCCTTATTTAGTCCAGATTTAATGTAGTTTCGAAAAGAGACACTTTAGGCACTAGTGAATACACCTTTATATCACAGCAAAAAATATCGTTATAAACAAATGGACTACCATGCTTAATTTTTTGTTACAATTTTAGGATTCAATACTGTTTGACGTGTTTTTAAGGTATTGCCCTACAATCGATGTTTTGTGTATGGCTATTTAAAAATAAAAACATACATATATAAAAACTTTAAATTTACCACACATAAAAGTAACTAACTACACAGTTAAAGGTACCATTTTCCATACTTGCAGGACCCTTCTGCTGGTGTTGTTAACGTTGCTGGCTGGCTCTGAGGCTTGGCTTCACTGGGGGCGCTGTCCTGATCCAACACCAAAATATGATTGGGTAGGTAAAAATAACTCTAGTATCATAATTTAGGTTAATTCAAACAAATTACTTCGTTAGATTAAGATAGGTTTGTTTAGAATTTTTGAATATTTTATTTGACTAACCCAATTACTTCAAATTATTAACCTACACAAAAAGTCATACACATACAGGGTTTTCCTAAATGAATACCTTAATCCACCATCATGTGCCCTGCAGACATCTAATCGACAGTCGATCTCAGCCTGTATGCTGTGCAACGTGGCTCTTGTTCCCATGATACTGCTTCATAGATCCTTTTCCTTTAATTGATCTCAACATGCATCTTCTTTGTACAGTATGCTTTAGCGGTATCCCCATAAAAAATTGAGTTAAATCTAGACTTCTAAGGCATGCTGTCTTACGTGTTCAATTACTGTTACCTCTGGTACAGGTGGCTTCCCAGAAGTCTTCCTTTTTTAGGACTAATCCCGTTTCTTCAAACTGTTCACTCTAACGTCTGATGTTTTTTTTTATGAGAAACAGCTTTGTTAAAATAATAATCTTCTAAAGGCGTTTGCACTGAAACGGCTGACTTTAATTAACTTAAAAATGGCACACGCTCTGTTTTGTCTTGATCAGAAAACATGTTTTATATCAAAATTAAATGTCAATAACAACAATAAAACAGCTATTTTCCGCTACACTACTGTGAAATAACCTGTTTTCGTTAAAGTGCTATGAGTTTTGCAATGTCCAGTAAAATAATTGGTCTTTGTAGTGTAGCAAAAAGTAACATCCAAAATACGAGTGAAATTGGGGCCATATTCTCGACAATTTAAAGTGCTTGTTAAATCTCGCACTTCAAACATGGTCTCAAATATGTAATGACTCACTTTCTACTCTTGTTATGAAATATGCTATTTCCAAGACAGTTTATTAACACTCTTTGAGCCAGATAATTCAGTGGTACCAACCTCATTTTACTACACCACTTGGTCGTTTTTGCATAGGCACTCGAAACTGCACCAATAATTTAGGAAAAACACTGATTTCTTTATTATTTTAAATATAATTACTCTTGTAATTATTTAACTGAGAGTATGTCGTCAATGACAGTCAAAATAGATTGAAAAAACTAGCTCCATTTGTTGGTGTATACATTTATCAGTAGGAGTATGCTATTGAATGCTCAACGCAATATGAGTATACTTTTAGTATGTTTGTTCGTATAGCAGTTGGTATCTTGAAATTTTCATTGAGCTTTAATATCTTGATGTTACAGGACTTAATAAACAAATGGTACCTGAGATCTGGATACAATAGTTATCCTCTTATACCAGGCTCAGGACGCTGCGGCTACGCAGAATATAACAACAACTTTTCTGGAACAATAGAAGTTAAATTCGCATATTTTTCATCTTGGTAGGTTGTTTTACAGTTTTTTTCTTCAAAACCAGCGTGTAAAAAATTATTATTGGCAATATAAAGTATTACTGTATTAATTGTGTCTACTACTGTATTAAGTAGTACTGTATTAATATTACTTTGATTTGTAAATCTAAAGATTTGAATAAAGATTTTATTCATAAATATAAAAATAATTTTGATTAGGAATAAGTGTTGAAACATCAAAATATATCAGCTGAATTCATCATGGATCATGCAATAAATATTGAAAAATTTAAAGAAAAAAAATGATTATGATGAGGTCGATTAAATATTTGATTTTGATTGAATTTTTCCTGGTTCCAAAAAACTTTTTTTTTATTTTGAATTTTGTTTCTTTAATAAACAACAAACAATTATGAAATTGAAAGAGCTGAATATAATTTTTTTTTATTATGTATACAACATGTAAAAGGAACCAAAACAAAAATTGAATTTAATATTGATTTTGGTGGTTGGTGGATTTTGTTCATCTAAATTTAAATTTTATATTTTAGGAACATTAAAACAATATGATGGTGCTGATTATAGTGCTGAAAATAATGTAAAGTGAATTGATTAAAGTGTTCTTTTCATTCTTTTCATAAAATTATCCGTTTTATAGTAATATTAATTAAAATACAAAATAAATGGCCACCATTTGCAGTTTTAAATTCCATCAAGATAACTTTTTTCTGACATGGGTCTCTTTTTACATTAACCCTTGTTACTTGTGGGTGTTCGCCTCCGCTGTCCTTTAGAAAGGGGGCTTGTCCGGTTTTATTTCTGTTCTTCACATCATCTTCAGTAATCAATAGCCTCAAAGAGATCATTTATTTTGTAGTAGGGTCTTGTTAAGAAGAAGTCTTTTAAGTTAATTTTTAAAGCCGTTGGTGTTTTGAATATTTTTTAACTGATCTGGGAAGTGGTTGAAAAATTTAAGTCCTTTGTAGTTTGGATGGTTTGCAATTTTTTAAGTCTATTGTATGGTACGTCAAATTGTTGTTGAGGTATTATACATCGATGAAATTGTTGTTTTCGTCTTGTGTTGTGGTCATGTATGTCTTCTCTTCTATTGCTGTTTGATGTTAAGGAATGTATGATGGTTTCGTAGATATAGATGGATATGACTGTTACAATTTTAATTCTGATAAAGTATGGTTTGCAGTGTTCTTCATCTTGCAGATAATTAATTGTTCTTATAGACTTCTTTTGGATAGTTAGTATTTGGTCTAGGTAGATTTGCGGTGCCGCTCCCCAGGCTATAATACCAAATCTTAGGTGAGAAGAAATTAGAGCGTGGTAAACCACAAGTGCGGTATTTTTTCCTGATATTCTTTTAATTCTCTTTAGTCCATAAAATGCTGAGGATAATTTATTTGTTAAGTTTTCTACAGGGTTTTTCCAGCTGAGGTTTTCATCAATTATTAGTCCTAGGAATTTGGTTTCTGATACTATTTCAATATTGGTGTTAGGCTTTTGGTTTGTTGTGTTTCTTGATGTAAAATTTACTATGGCGCTTTTTGTCTGGTTTGTAATGAGATTTACCTAGTTTTTTAAAGTTGTCGCTTGCAGAAATTGTTGTCGCTTGAATTCAGTTTTCCAGTTCTACTATATTTGGTGCTGGAACAATGAGGGTTGTATCATCGACAAAAATTATACATTTTGTGAATTCGGGGAGGTTTTGTGGTAGGCTAATACTTTATACTTTCTTATGAAATGGCGACCGTACTGTGTAGGTATTTTAAGCCAAGTATGAATGGAGATGAGTGTAGGATGAGTGGCGCGATCTTGTAGTCTTGTTAGTGACTAAGGCCGACATTCCTTAGACACAGCTGTTAATTAATAGCCCAAACAGCTAATGGCAACTAAGGGACCTACAGTTTATAGTGGAATCCGAACCACATTTTTCCTTGGTATATACGAATTGGTCTAATTATCAGGATAGTACTGCGGATAGTAGTAGTACTCACTAGTGCGGACGTTAATCCACACCATAATGGCGTATATTAAAAAGAGTAATGGTCCTAAGACGGAGCCTTGTGGTACGCCATTTTCCATTTTCCACAGGTCGATTTTATTTTTGTTTGGTATTGTTAGTAAAGTGGGTTACTTTGACTATTTGCTGTCTATTGGAGAGATAACTTTTTAGCCACGTTTTAGCACTTTTTGTATTTCCTATTGATTCTAGTTTGTCAAGCAATATTAACCAGTCGAGGCAGTCAAATGCTTTCCAGAGGTCTAAAAATATTGCTGATATGTTATGATGTGTTTCCCAGTTCTCGGTTATGGATTGAAGGAGATCGGATATAGCTGTGTTGATAGATCTGTTATTTCGGAATCCATGTTGATGGATATGTAATCTATTGTTGGCGTTTAAGAATTTCATTATGTGTATGTGGATTACTTTTTCTAGAAATTTTGATATAGTTGGAAGTTGGTCTATAATTTTCTATATTTTTTTCCGATTATTTAGGTATATTTCGGGTATACTATTGATATTTTTATTTTGTCTGGTACTGTAGATTCGGCTATGGAGGAATTTATGATATGTAGCAGGGGTTGAGCTATTTCTTCTTGGCAGTGATGTATAAATTTCCCAGACAGGTCATCTATTCCTACTGTATTATTATGTTTTATAGAATTGAATAACTTTTTGAGATCTTATTCTAAGACTGATTCAAATTTCTTCAGCTTTGGTTGTTGGTTGTTTCGAAAGTTGTTGGTCGGGGTGTTTAGGAGTTTTTTAGATCCGGTTGTTTTTCCTATGTTGATAAAAAAATCATTGAAAGAGTCGGCAATGTCTTTTGGGCTGTAGTTGTGTCGTTTACTTGTATGCTTATGTTCTTGAAATCTGATGGCTTATATTTATTTATTTCTTCATTAATAATTTTCCAGGATTCTTTGGATTGGTGTGATACACTGTATAATTTATGAGTAACATACTCCTTTTTTGCTTGGATATCCTTTTGATCATATGCCTTTTTTGCCTAATATAGCGAGCTATCTGTTTTTTGCTTCGATGGTATCTTTTCTATGTTGTTGTATGGGTTCGGTTATGGCATATGCTTGTCTTTTTTTGGATGATATTGCTTTTGTTTTGTAGGGGCATGCCACATCCAAGTAGTATGTCAGAATGTCTATAAAGTTGTTATATTTTCTGTATACCGTTCTTTCTTCAAATACTGAATACCAGTTTTCTTTTTTTTAGCAGGATTTTGATTAGTTGCGTGTTAGCTTAGGAAAAGTTCATTATCGTTGTTTGTTCTTTGTTCTCCTCATTTATATGTGTATTCAATGTACAGAGAACCGCTTCATGACCAGAGATTGTATTTTTTATTACCTCGGTGAGTGTTTGAGAAGGTTGGTTATGCAACAGTCTATGCTTGTTTTTGATGTAGGAGTTATTCGGGTTGGCGGTAATTTTTGTATTAAAAGGTTGTGTTGTTTAAGATGGGTTTCCAGCTTTGTTAGATTATTTGAAGGGGAGAGTGTCTCAATATTTATATCGCCGAGGATTGCTATCTGGTTGTTTTCGCTTGATATTTTATTAAGGGATGTATCAAATATATGTAGAAATGTATCAATGTCGGCTGGTGGTGGTTTATATACGCAGACTATTACCGTTGCTTTTGATGTTGTTTTAATTTTAATGGCTGATATTTCACATTGCATTTCCCTGGATAGGTTCTCAGTGTCAATTGTTTGGAAGTCTATTTTTGAGATGTGTGTGTATGTTGCTGTTCCACCCCAAAGATGATTGGTTATCGAAAATTCTGCTGCTAAGTAATATCCTGGGATGTTAGTAGTTTCAATCTGTTGTTTAGTTAGCCCATGTTCGGTGATAAGTAAAACGTGTGGTTTTATAAAGTCTATTTCTATTTTAATTTGATCAATTTTTGTTTGCAGGCCTTGGTTTATATTAAAGTGGTAAATTTTTAGTTCTTTTTTATGCTGTTTAAGACTTTCAGATTTTTGGTTATTTGGTAAGTCTAGGTTACTATTTCTACCCCTGTAGTTTCTGTGTTTTGTTTCGCATTCATTTTCGGTTTGGGCTTTTTTGTCCGCATTCTCTGATAAATCTGTGTTGTTGGTATGTACATCTGCCTCCGTAGTATGATTTGCTATTTTATGACTTGATATAACTTATTACATACTAAGTTTCATAAGGATCGGTTGGAGCAATCCAATGATAAAAAATATTTACGTGAAAAATATAAAATGGCGTATATATGGTTAAAAAAGACATACTGGAAAACATTTTATTTTTAATTTTCTTTTTATTTTGACCCATACAACCATTTCCCGGAGTTTGGCTGTTTACTTACGGGAAACCCTGTATAGCAACTACTTGAACATAAAGTTAAAGGTATGTCTATGTAACAATTTGCAGGTGGAATCGTTGGGAAGATGTCAATGGAACTTTAACACTAGATGAACCATCAGACAATTCAAAGATGATATTGAAAATTCCTAAGAGATGGGGTAAGTAATAACAGCTTTAATCAAACAACACTGCACAGTGTTTATTATGCTGAAGACGCTACAGTCGCTTATCCGAACACTTGTTATATTCGGTAATTTCCTCTCCTCTTCTTTTTCTTACTATGTTTCTTTCGATGTAGTCATTGAGATGAATAGATTATAGCTGGAGTCAATACTCTCTGGTTGAACATTAGAGAAAATGGTTGTTGCCGTGTTTTGTTGGTCACACTGTCTCAGTTGGTTGGTCTTGTCAAAATTAACCCATCTGATTGGTTCGAATTTGACAGCCCTCCAACCAACCAATAAAAAGCCAACATATCAACATGAAAAACTGAAAAAACCAGCGAAAACAGTGGTACGCTTTTTAAACGTAGAGTGACTCTAGTATAGCTCTGTGGTTTTAGTATGCGTTGCCAGTTATGTTGAGAATGGAAAGATTATGAAATGTTATCCATCAGTTGCATTTTAGAATTTAAGGGCAACTTCCATTATATTTTCTGGTTTCTTAGGGTTTATTGTTTTGAGATACAGTGATCAATGAGTAAGTAAGTAGTATTTGTACGCTCTGTGTCCGCTTTTTGTTCTGATCTCTTTTTTACTTTGAGTTTTTACTTTTACTGATATAGAAGTGAGGACGCAAAGTTCTAGAACAAACTTTATTTTACAAATTTTAGGAAGTCTTAAGCCCAAACTCTAAAACTCCAAAATCTAAATATATCAGCTGAATTCATCATGGATCATGCAATAAATATTGAAAAATATGATTACGATGAGGTTGATTAAATATTTGATTTTGATCAATTTTTCCTGGTAAAAAAATATTTAGAATTTTGTTTCCTTAATAAAGAACAAACAATGTACAACATGTAAAAGGAACCAAAACAAAAACTAAATTTAATTATTTTGGTGGTTGTTGGATTTTATTAATCTAATTTTCAATTTTATTTGAACAAAGACACAAAGTTCTAGAACAAACTTTATTTTACAAATATCAGGAAGTCTTAAACCCAAACTTTTTTCCACCCTGAATAGTTAAAATAAACCCCAAATTAAAACTTCACTGTGATTGCCTTTTACAAGTATGCAAGTAACACAATGAATACGTTTGACTCCACAGGATTCTGGGACGAGACGATGCCCTATTGGATACTTTACGTTACTAATGGACGCCCAGATCCTTACATGGTTGTGTACAGTTGTGAAAATGTCCTTTTCAACTTTCACCACTGTGAGTATATTATTAGCATTATCATTAAAATGGGAAGGTGCGTATTTCAACCCAAGTATTAGTAAAGGATTAGTGTAGAAAGGAGTAGATTTGTACTAAGACAAACTGTTTAATTAGTCAGAACAGTTGATTAGAAGCGCTATAACTAGGGACAGTGGGGTTCAGTTTTGAACGATTAAAATCTACTTACTTTTCTCAGGATCAAACCGGGGACATTTTGTTCTCTAGGTGAGCAATATAACAATTGCGCTACCCTGCTATTTCGCTATAGTTTCGATATTATCCAATTTACTTTACAAATGTAAGGTACGATAATATATAATGGCTATTTTTTAAGTTTTTTGTATACCTAGATTTATCATTTGTACATTTTTGTTGCAGATAGTGTTCAGGTTTTATCCTTGAATCCAAATACAGATTTGAGTGGAATTGACGACGTTTTGACATCTTTCAACCTAGATTCAATCAAATTCGTGACGTACGACCAAACAAATTGCACTCACCATTAAGAAACCAATTTCAATTGCCTTATCTGTTGAAGAAATTGCTTTATATTCCATCATCCAACGTGTTGAAACAAGAAGTCGAGCTTTACAAACGTTTGTCAGCGTATGGTATAAATAATGTGTACAATATAATAATGATATGTAAATGATCTTAATTCCTATTAATCTTGGTTGAATAAAAGTTTGATCCAAAATTAAAAAGAATATGACTGTGCCCTTATTTTCTTCTTTTAACATAACAATGTTTATAAGGGTATCTTGGGTAAAGATATATTTATTAAACAACATATTAGGATATTCTTAAGCGAGAAAATTCATCTACGTTAATTATTCAAACTACTCTTAAAAACTCTCAGATTCTAATGATTACAAAAATGCCTTGATAAATACTAAATATCTAAGGCCTATAATGTCTTAAATTCTTACGGTTTGATATAACGAAAGCAGCATTTCATCCGTCCTAGCTTTTATGATTTAAAATTTCAATATTTACGAGATCCCGAGTAGGAACTGTGATAGTAAAAATTTAGTTAGTTTGTTTATAAAATACACATAAAATAGATGGTTTATTAAAGCCTTACTCATCACCATAAATTACTCTAGAAACAATGTGTGTATAGTATTATTAAAATATTTATTGATAAATACCATAAACAAACAAAGTACAATTCAAAATACAAATATGCAATGTATCGTATCTATAATATTAAAACGAAACAGTGTTTTTTTATTTCACGATTCTGAATCAACCAATCGACGGATTTTCATAATTTTTGTGTTGAAAGAAAGATAATTTTAAGAACTAGGGAATGTCGAAGCCATAATTTTAGTTTCGGGTCCCAGTTTTTAGAAATTAAGTTTTAATTTTTAAAAAGTCTAGCAGCCGACGTTAAGATTATAAACTAGCTTTTGGCATAAAATAATTTGCTTAACATAACAGCTGTAAACATTCAGATTTTGTGTCACAAGTTCAGCATTTGGATAAAAATGTAAAGACATACTTAGGGTTGACTTATTTATACTATGTGTAATGCTAATCATTGATACGTTCAATTCTTCTGTAAGAGGATGACAGATTAATGAAATATACATAGTAAAATACTAAAATGTTCAAATTATTTTTTAAAGCAATCTTTGTAATCTTCGATTTGTTTTAGAGCAATATAATTTGTTTTAACTAACAGCTGGTTAAATAACTATGGAAGTATGAGGTTATTTCATTTTTGTCATTGATTATAAGAAATAAGTAAGATTAGTAGAGATAATTAGACCACAGTTTAAACCACAGTTTTAACCAAAATTAATTAAACCACAGTACAAATCGAGGCTCTGTACACGAGTCTTAATAACAAAAAATAAATGCAAATTATTTTACTGTTCCACTTTTCAAGGAAAGATTAGAAAAATAACAAATTTTACATGTTTTAATTCTTTATGGTAGCTTTTTGTTTACAATTAATGTTTGTCTGCTTTAACTTTGTATGGATTAGGCACCGGAAATATTGATGTCATAAAAAGAAGATCAAGAATAATCAGGAATCACGATTTTAAATTACCACCACAATCTCAGCCGAGTTTTATACAAAGATTGAACACAACTTCAACATTGACCTAAGATACTGCAATTAGACCAACCATCCTTTTATGAAATCGTGTTCAGGGTGGTTACGTTTAGGGGTGCCTATCAGCGCCCCCAAACGTGAAAATATCACTTTTATTTCAACTATGAATATATTGTAGTTTAAATAACTAATATGTGAAATTACGATGTACCAGCGACCACTGTGGTCGCTGCGATGTACAGTCGTAGTTCTTTTAGAAATCGTGAGTTCTTTTTTTTTCAAATGAATGTTATTTGAACCAGACAGCTGTTTCAAAACAAACTGTTATTGTTTTTAATTTTCTTTGTTTACACTTATTTATTTAGCAATTAATGCAGTGAAATTGATATAAAGGATAGGTGTGACGATTTATGTGTACTGTGAGTTTTATTGGATATTATCGTTTTATTTTAGGTCTTTTCTATTCAGACCTACTGGAAATTGTGTATAGTAGTTGTATTGTGGTGAAAATAATTATGGAAGAGGCAGGTATGCTATGGAAGATGATATTGTTGACTAAGTCTATACACTTCTCAATTGGTTATTACTCTCTCTACTCTAGGCTACTTATAATCAGTGTGCGTCGGTGCGAATCGGCTGCAAATCTCACTTCAACGCTTCTTACATCGTAAAAATTGCAGAATTGCTGTTTTATTGTAAAATTATCGGATTTAAAATGCATATCTTATAGGCCTATGATGGAATAAAAACATATTTGGTCACACAACATTTGTTTACAAGATGATTTTTCACATTAAAACTGCAAGAAACTTTGTCTTTATATGTGTAAACTAGCTGATCTGAATTCTAGGCCTACACGGTTTTATCTGACTACTGAATTCCCGTACGTAGGACGGGCTAACACCTTGTTAGATATTAATTTTATCTTTGAATTCTTAAGCTAACTATTCAATCCAATTATTTCAGATGGGTACCAACATAATAGGTATGTATTTGATCCCAAATATGAGTAAAGGAGGAGTGTATAATGGTTTGAGATAATCGGCGTGGGGTAGAGGAATTTTATCCCCCTAGAATTTTACCCCCTGAGCAAAACTGACGTCACAAACCAGGGGGTAAAATTCCGGCCGAGAACGTTTGAGTTTCGCAACATCAGTTCGATAAATTAAAGATGGAATTGAATGTAGTTTTTGACGGTTGTGAATTTAATCAGAACACATCAAATTACAACAACTAGAGTTTACGGGCCGGAATTTTACCTCCTTCATGAGGTCAGCTCAAACTATACGGCCCGGATTTTTACCATTGGATTTATACCCCCATCTTTTTACCCCCGGAATTTTACCCCCAGGCCATATATGAGAAAGTAGTTAGAGTAATTGATTTTCTTCAAAATAAATAGTTTTTCTACTGTCGTATCGTTTAAGGTTCATCCGATTATCATTAAAATACACTACTCAGTTTGTTTACATGTATATTAACTAACAGTTGGCCCCAAGAGTCAAATCCCGAAACTCGAATATTAAAATTTAACAGCGAAACCTGTTTACTTAATTGAGATTACATAAATCAAGATACCTAGGCTACTAAAATAATAGAATGTTTACTATTCATTCAAAACTGAAATCAGAAAATAAATTAATCTCAATAATTTATGTATCTACACAGGGGGTAAAATTTAGGGGGTTAAAATGATAATAATACATTAGTTCAATAGGGGAAGGTAATTGTAAACTATCTATAGCATGCACCCCACGTTTTTCGTTTTAAATCTTACAAGTATTTATACTCTCCACATATTTATAAATTATTTTGTACTTTTTAGTGCGTTTAAAAACGTTTTGTTTTTAAAAAAGTTGTTTATTTACATTAACCCTCCTCCTATCCAGGATGTCCTAGATCACCTTGCTTTTCGAGTTCGTCATCTTGGAGTTCCAAGATGGGTGTTTCGCGTTGAGATATACTGCAAGAAATTCTGGTTCATTTTAGTTAATAAACAATGCACGTGTTAGAAATGTGATACATTTGAGAGCTTCTTTTCTTGTTATAAAGTATCGTTACTTCTTACTATTATTGATAACAAATCACTCATTAAGATTTATAATTTGGATCCATTATTACAAGAACATCACGTTTTGATAAAATATGTTTGATTGTTCAATGGCATATTGATTCTTTGACAGTTAATGCTGTTTTATAATTCTTATCATTTCGCTTGACAGTTAAAAGGAGTTTTCAATTTATATTGAGATAGATGTCACTGCTTCGTCATGTTTTGTATGATATTACTCACCATTCTTAGCTATTATCGCATTTCTCTTAAAGAGGTAAGCGAAAATCCAATCAGGTCAATGTAACTTCACTTTGTCTGCAGGTTTGCTGCGGCGGGGGTATTAGTAACACTTGTTAACTTATCTTTACCCGCTCTTGTATTCGTTGTATCACTTATGAAACTGATAAACAGAATTCTCTGTCAATTAAAACTCTTAATCCGTCAACATATTCGTCAGTAGTCTAAGTAACGATTGGACATGAGGTAAGACAAACACTTGAATTAGTAGACTTAAGTTTTTATAAAGTAACAGTTTGTTTAAAATACTTGAACACATTAACATTAAATTAACTAAACTAGATACATGGTCCTTACGACATAATACAGTATTCCAAGAAAACACGAATCAATACAAGAAGTGTTTTTACAATATCAATCTTGATTCTTAAACGTCGAATTCTATCTGTAGGATGAGTTTTGTATGACTGAATTTAAGGTTAAATACGAGTCGCATATCACAGACATAGCATCTTAATTATTGTAATAGTTAACTCATAAACGTTTAAATATACGGAGGTTTTTCTTTTTTTTATGAAAATAAGAATTCTTTTGAAAAAAAGAAGTTGGTGGCGTCTCGTACCTTGCATTTCAGCCACATAGGTTACAAAAGATCTTTTCACCACACTATGATGTTTTTGGCTGTATTACATACGTTAATTGGTGGCTGAAAGTTACGTTTTGCTGGCCATGCCAGCTGTCACCAATTTGGGGACCGAGCAGGTTTTTACAGGCCGGGGCCGCAAAATCAGCTGTCCGCTTACTTACTTAGAACATGAATGCATCTTAAATACACAATCAAAATCCATAGCATTGCAATATAGAATTGTGTTATTGTCACCGTTGCCTAGCAACTATTTATTTTTATTTTGCTGATTCCTCAAATCATTTCTTCACATAACCTGAAAGTTGTAGTTGTGTTGAGTATCAGTGTGCATTATTATAGTGGTGAATAGTGGTTATAGGGTATAGTGTGGTGAAAAATAGCGTTCGTACCACGGACCAAAATGGTTTTGCAGCTCTCGATCGATTTAAGTTCTCGACTACGTCTCGAACTTAAAAACTATCTCGAGCCGGCAAAACCTCATTTTCGGCCCTAGGTACGAAATATACTATTCTTCCCTATCTTTATATTTCTTTGCTATCTATCTTGTTAACGATCTTGTAATCTTTCTTCCCTTATAGCCTACATACTATAAGCATATACTAACCAACACAAGATTTACTTTTGGTATGGTTTGGAGAAAGTATTGTTTTTGAAATACTTTCGAGTATAAATATTTTTATACGTATCAAATTTGGGAACCCCTGAACCCCCCAGAGCTGGAGACCACTTAAATTCCGATTTTGATGAATTTTGGTAGTAGGCACACATCCATAGCATCTCCAGGCGTTTTAAATTCTTTTCAAATCTAGATTTACATAGTCTTTGTCCCATAAAAACCAATACAATAAATGAAAAGTCAGATGGAAAATAAACGGCATAACTTATTTGTATTCAAAGTTTGTATGCAATTTTAATTTAACTCTAAACAAAAATGTTCAAATATCATAGTTAGCCCCACAAACTTACCCATATCATAGGCTAATGGGAGGACGTTTTTGTCAGATTGCTAATACCGTTTGATATCTTTAAGAATGGTGTTAGCAGGATAAAATATAGTTGATCAACCGGGGTCTCGTCCTTCCTTTATTTAGTCCAGATTTAATCTTGTTTCGAAATAGGCAATTTAGCTCTAGTGAATAAATATACTACCTGTATACCGTCGCAAAAAATTTTGTTATAAACACTTGCGTTACAAGAGTTAAGCAATTTTTCATCTCTATGCTAAAACAGAATTATGTGAAGACGATGGCTTCAGCCGTACATTTTTCTTACTCACACATTAAACGAAAGTGTTGTTATCGATTGATATTAAAAATTGCTATTTAGTTTAACATTTTTGACCGCTGGATTAATTTTGATACAACTTTAGGATTCAATACCTTTTTGACCCGTTTTTTTGCTATTGCCCTACCATTGATGTTTTGTGTATGGCTATTTAAAAATAAAAACATCCATACATTAAAACTTTAAATTTACCAGACATAAAATTAACTAACTGCCCAGTTTATAGTACCATTTCGCATACTTGCAGGACCTTTCTGCTGGTATTGTTAACGTTTCTGGCTGGCTCTGAGGCTTGGCTTCACTGGGGGAACTGTCCTGATCTAACACCAAAATTTAACCAGTACCTTAACACGGTAAGTCAAAATAACTCTGATAGTAAAATTTAGGTTAATTCAAGCAAATTACTTCGTTAGATTAGGCTAGGTTTGTTTAGAATTTTATAATCTTGAACTAACCCAATTATTTAAAATTATTCACCTACAGCAAAAGTATTTTACATACAGATTTATTTATTGTTTGAAATATAATTACTCTTGAAATTATTGGATGAAACAAAGTGGGGGTGTCCTCAAACTCAGGTAAAAAAATATGCTAATCTTTTTTACCATAATACTTTTTTTACGAAAACATTAAAAATATGTACCTCGATTTATTTTTTGTGTAGTTCTTTCTAACATACATTTCAATAATTTTTGTTAATAATTTCAATTTAACGTTATTAAGTCAATTTATAACTTTTTTGGTCCTGGTTGTTAAGGTTAAATAATCCATAAATTGTTCACCCTATAATATTTAGACTACTATCAGACTTACTGTAGTTGTTTTGTTTTTGGATATCATTACGAAAGAGAGTATTCCTCTTCGGTCTAAAGAAATGTTACTGTGCTACTAGAAAGCAAACGAGTTGACTTTACTCACCGGGACCGGGTTCATAACGTGTAATTGCGTTTCGTCTCCGTGCCTTTTCGATCGGCTAGCCAGCCTATTGGACAGCCGAATGACTAATCGTTGGTTGGTTCCTTCACCAGGCCCGATAATTTAAACTTATAAAACTATTGATGAGATCAACTTGCCTCTATATAATATAACAAACTACAACTCTTCTTCGAATATATAACAAAATCCTATGAAATGTATCTTAGCGTGAAGTGATGTTTATCTTCCTGTATTATTCCGGTTATTCGCCCTGAAATGTAACTTTGACTAGGCCTACCGTATAGAATCTTGGCAAGTTAGACCTAATGCTGGGATATGTTCTTGGGGTTAATTTATTTTAGACATAAAACTATTTTAAGATAGACCTGGGGATTTATGTTTTTAAGTAAGTGGCGAACATAGTTTTGATTAAGTGGGTGGCCCCCTTTTAACCGATAAGTAGAGTTAAAAGCCCCAAATGTTATCAGCCCAATCTGTTAAAATGAACGATAAGTAAGTTACGATTATTAAGTTTGGTCACAGATTAATTTAAAAGGGAGACAGAGAGTGTAGGAGTAGCGGATGCAACTGTAGACGCAAACTAAAACATAAGGCCAAATCAATTATAAGTTGCGTACACCTAGTGCAACTGAGAGTTTGTTTTCAGTGACAGTCCATATAAATGAAAAAAGCTTTATACATTTGTTGTTGGATACATTTATAGATATCAGAAGGAGTATGCTTTCGAATGCTCAACGCAATATGACTATACCCATAGTACGTTTAGAAGTTAAATATCTTGAAATTTTCATTGTGCTTTCATATCTTGATGTTACAGTACTTCAACGGAACGTGGTACCTTAGATCTGGATACAATAGTGATCCTATACCAGGTTTTGGACGCTGCGGCAACACAAAATTTACCTACAATAGCACATCTAAAACAGCAAAAGTCAAATTCACACATCTTTCGTCTTGGTAGGTTGTTTGAATTTTTTTTCAAAACTAGCTTGTTAAGTAATACTACTATTGACAACATAAAGTATTACTGTATTAATAGAGTGGCAGATTATTAGTAAACATAACCAAGCAACTCGCCCTGAATGTATGTAATACAAAACGAACTTATATTTTTACTAATTATTGTCTACCTTCTACATGGTAGACGGCATTCTTCGGAACACTTTAGGTTCATAAAAATAACCTTGACTTTAATAATAATAACCTTGAATGGAATATACTTGGGGCCTCACTACTACAGCCACTTTTTAGTAAACGTTTTTCTCATAATTTGAACTAGCTAATCAAGCTAAAATAGTAATTACAATTATTTGTTGTAGTATCCGCTATATCCGTGCATTGCAAGAGGCAGAAGAGACCATGTTGGTTTCTTGAAATTGCCGTAAAATGGTTGTTTCATCCTCCATTTAATTTACAAACGAAATTCAGGTGTACCACTTAACTTGAAAACATTCTCTTTTTGTTAAATCCGACTATGAACACTTATTTGGGCTCAGTAGTTTTAACCAAAAACCATAGAGTACACTGCCATCTGGTGGAACACGCTGTAATCACCAAGAATAGGATGACAAGGAGAATATTAAAATTAATGAACTTTGACGACCTGTTGTAGCAGAACAACTGAACTAATTTTAATGATCTTAACAACATTCGACTCGGAATTTAATGTTCTTTAGAAAAGTATCCAAACACGTATTTGTGGGATGCACTGTTTTTTAGTTATAAGTGAAAAAATGAAAAATGAGCGAAATAGGCCTAGGTTTTCGGGCTAATTTTCCTGGGCTACATGTTGTATTACATTTTGTTTACCTGTTTTGACCTTTCAAGTATTTTTGTAAAAACTGTCCTAGTTGAAGCTGGACACCCAGTAGATTGAAAAAAAAATCACCCAAAATGATATATACACCACTAAGACATAGCCTATAATTTAAGGTATATATATGTAGGTATTTACAGGTTGAATCGTTGGGAATCTGTCAATGGAACTGTAACACCATCTCAACCATACACCGATGGAAAAATGATATTGGAAATTCCTAAGAGATGGGGTGAGTAGCAAACGCCTTCATTAATGACTGCATACACTATCAGTTTTACTCAAACGACACTGTATTATTTGATAAAACCACTACCGCAGCAATCCTGCTAAGCGAATTTCCATGTGTATATATATACAGGGTGTTGAAAATGTCTGGAACCAACATTATATCTGGTGAGTGGTTAAAGAAAAACAACTGATATTTTGGGTACGGATATACTATGGTTTTACTTATCTTTTAGTGCCTTATGAAAATTTTTACCACTTATAGGGAACGTCCTGTGGAGGATGCAGTAAAAAGTTTTAATGGAAGCCTATGGTAAATGATACATCATTTTAAAGGCCATCTTTTTCTGAGTAAGGAGCCACAAGTTTCATCTCAAAAGGACCACCCTAGCAAAAATGGCGACTGTTTGAAATTTAAAAAAATCACATAGGGAACAGAATTTTTAAATTTCAAACAGTCGCCATTTTTGCTAGGGTGGTCCTTTTGAGATAAAACTTGTCGCTCCTTACTCAGAAAAAAATGGCCTTTAAAATTATGTATCATTTACCATAGGCTTCCATTAAAACCTTTTACTGCATCCTCCACAGGACGTTCCCTATAAGTGGTAAAAATTGTCATAAGGCACCAAAAGATAGGTAAAACCATAGTATATCCGTACACAAAATATCAGTTGTTTTTCTTTAACCACTCACCAGATATAATGTTGGTTCCAGACATTTTCAACACCCTGTATATATATTATTACCAAACTGTATCCTGGTAAAAAATCAAATAATAATACCATATAATTAGCTCTCTTGGATTTGTAAACATTGTACATTTATCCAGCTTTGAAAAACAGATATGTATTTTAAAGACTAATCAAAACAGCCTAATAATATCGCTAAGTCCCATGAGTCAGCGTCCTCCTCCTCAGGTACAGCAGTCACTATTATATCACAGAATGAAATTGTTTAGTTGAAACAGCTGTTAAGACTCATTATTCCATTTAAATATAAATACTCATAACGTTAACATGGGGAAACTCCAGAGCCACTGGGGCGGAGACGATTGGACGGATTAAGAAATGGATGGTGTTAACCATATTCCATGAAATTCTACACGTATGTACCAAGTTTCGTGGCAATCGGTCCAAACGGTTTCGGAGTCCATTGCGTTAAAATATACAAACTTCCTCTTTTATAAATATAGATTATTATATTATATATTTTATTTTATATTATATATTATTATGGGTTTCCGTAGTCTGTACCCAAGGGCTGTGATGTGGACGGGCTTATTATGCAAGGTTAAAAGAAGCCGCCAATCTCTAATCTATGCATATATATATTAATATAATATGTATATAAATTAAAACTCCACATATTTTGCCTTTTATAAATATGTAAGTAACAAATGAATATGTTTGTCTCTACAGGATTCTGGGACGAAACGATGCCCTATTGGGTGCTGACCGGATATTATTACATCGATTATACGGTTGTCTACAGTTGCAAAAACGTGCTATTCAACTTTCACTACCGTGAGTATATTATTAGCATTATCTTTTGAGATGGAGACTCCACCAATGTGTGTATTTTAATCCAAATATTATTTAAGGATGAGTGAAGTATAGTATTATATTATTAATTTTCTTGTGACATGCTAGTTTTGTTCCTATAACACTTATACATTCGTTGCCGATGATTAATTTCTAGTACAAATTTCACAAATTTATTAATAAAACTTATTTAAATGTGTTAATTGAGATTAGATAATTAATAAGCTAGAACCATTCACTAGCCCAGTTTTTGAGCCATCAATAAGCCAAATTTTCTCAGTACGACCTTTTGATCACTAGGCGAGCACTATCACTGTACTACACAGCTGTATAGGATAAAGCCTAGATATTATAGAATTTACTTTACACATTTCAGGTACCTACCAAACGTAATTATTTTCATGTTTTATGTATACCTAGCTTTATGATTGATATTTTTTGTTACAGATAGCGCCCGGGTTTTATCTCGTTCACCCGATACAGATTTGAGTAATGTTGATGACATTTTGAAATCTTTCAACCTAGATCCCAGAAAATTCGTGACGTACGACCAAAGTAATTGCACTAATCATTAGGAAACCAATTTTGTAAACATCTATTGAAGAAAATGTTAAAAATGTTATCATTTCAACGTTATGAAACAAGATGTTGGGTTTTAACTTTGTCAGTGTATGGTAAAAATAATGCAAAAAATATGACAAAGATTAGTTAACTATCTTAATTCCTATTAATCGTGCTTGAATAAAAATTTGATAAAAAATCTAGAAAATGTATGACTCAGACCTAATTTGCTCCCTTTAACATTCCAATGTGTATGATAATCTTGGTTTAAAATATATTTGTTAAAAGATATTCAAAATTCTGAAGCATGAAATGCATCGAACCTAACTATTGCATACGAATCTAGGGAGTGGAAAATCTGTTTGATGAACAATAAATATATAATGCATATGATGTCTTAAACTCTTAAGGCTCAATATCATGTTAGCAGCATTCTATCCCCTCTAGTTTTTCTAATTTTAATCTCAATATTTACACGAATCTAAGTAGGAACTGCAATAGTTAAAATATAGTTTCTTTTGTTATAAATTACATATCAAATAACTGGTTTATTAGCCTTAGTCATCGCCATCACTCTAGAACCATTGTATGTACAGTATTGTTAAAATATTTATGGATAAAATACCATAAACAATCAAAGTACAACTCAAAATACAAATATGCAATGTATCGTATTAGATTTAAATTTTGATCCATAAATTCATAAACTTACTATTCAATTTATTTATTTCCGATGGGTACCAACATATTAGGTACGTATTTTAACTCAAATATGAGTGAAGGATGAGTGTAGAATGGTGTGAGATGATCTGTGCAGCTTTGTTACTGACTAAGATAAACTGTTTCATTAGTCAGGATCATTTATTTATTTATTTAGCCCAGTGATCAGGAACAGCTGGGTCCAGTTTTGAACCACCAAAAAGCTACTGAATTTTCTCAGGATCGAAGATCGAACTGGTGAACTTGACATTGCTAGGTGAGCACTAAAGGCAAACACCTCTGAAACTTGTTAGTAAAAATGTATTACGCGAAGATTTAATCAATATAAAAAATAAAAATGTTACTTTACCTTATCTTATTTTAGCAACGCAGTCCAAAAATATTCAAGAAGTAAATTCTTGAACATATATCTAATTTTTCTACCAATTGCTAGAGGAGCAATCATCGAGACCCGAACATACGATTTTTCACTTTCATATATATATATAATTATGCCTTTGGATAGTTAAATGAATCTTTCACAAGGCGTGGCAGGAAGTAGAATTTTTAATTCGGGTTTTGTAACCCTCCAAACAGATTGCGAGCTGGGCTTTAGTGATAAAGCTCGGGGCTTCGAAGCCCAAGGTCCCGGGTTCTAATCCCATCAATCACCAATGGATTTTAAAAGTTTCAATGCTGCGACACCTCTAAACCTAGCCTAAAGCTAAAGTAATATAAAAAAACAATTCCAATTATGGTTATTTATACAAAAGCACACTAGAACAAAAGACATTTTTAATTGAACTTCTAACTGGCTGCAGAAGCGTTTGCCATTCATCAAAGGCAGTTGTCCCAGCTGTTCAGATGACGTAATCTCAGGCAGGAAGCTGCAGAACATCTTCGACGGTTATGATTGTATGGAAATGCCAACCAGGCTGGATCCAGATCCAACATATGTTGTACAGCTTGTCTATTAGTTGTATCTGGTTGATAATTAATTGCGGTTTAAGTGTTTTAATTGACACTTTTGTTTATCACAGTATTTCCTTTAAGTGTTTAAGTAACATAAGAACAAGCCGGAAAGCAATAAAATCATAGAATTATCAGTGACATTAGAGAAACCACTAACTGCTATTTCTTCATCAACTAAAATTCCTTTTTACTGCCAATCAAGTTGGCAACAATAATTCAAGGTATTTTCTTTCATTAAGGTATTGTTGACTTAAAATTAATTGTTGAACTTTAAATTGTAGCTTATCTATGAATATACCTTGATTGATAAGGGTCAGTTTTAATTCGTGTGATACGATTTACCGGCAGCGTGGCTTGGGTAGGCACGTAAATACATTAAACAGATTAAATAATCTTAGTGAATTCTGCAAAATCTCCAAGAGGAAGATTTAAACCAATTTCAATTTACGGAATTAGCTGTAGTTGTTATTAATTCAATTCAGACCAAGTGGATTCATGCGCCAAAGGTTTCCAAACTTGTTACCGAAGGAAAAAATAATATATCAATATAGACATACTCTCTTACCCCAAAAATATTATGTTTGTTTAATACAGCAATTAAGTGAAGAAAACAACTATTCAAACTGAAATTGTAATGTCAAAAATTGTGTCTTTTCTTGTACGTTTTTTGGGAATCGGATTGTGCTGAAATTTGGCGTAATGATAGCTTCAGCTATCACAAAAGACCATTAGCTCATACACTTAGCATATAGGCCTATTTTTTCCTCAAAAATTCTATCGGGTGCCACCCCAGTGGCTCTGGAGTTTTCCACCTTATCCTTATAAGTATTCATATTTTTAAAAGAAATTAAATAATATTTTCAGATGTTTCAACTAAACAAGTTCATTTTATGAATTTCAATAGGATTAATTAAAAAAGTTACAAGGTTTACCAACAGGGTGCAGCACTATTATTTTGACGTCAACAGCAAATTTTAACTGAACATAAAAAAACTGCGATACCTAATGACAACTGTCAAAACAGGGTCAACATAGGGTGTTCGATGAAGATTATGGCAAATCGTTTGCATAAGTTGTTTATTGAAAACTTGGGGCAGAGCAAGCGTACTTGGAGCAGCTTGCATTAAGAGTCAGTATACAACAATGGTTATAGAATCTTACTTATTTCCTATAATTGATAACAAATCTTAGAGTAGATAAACTTACCTCGTATTTCTATAAAAAAATTTTATATAACGACATATACTTAATCACAAATTTACAATTTTAGAGTGAAACATAAATAACTGATTTAGAGCAGCTAGTTTTTAATTGTGTAAATTTAAATAATCAGTCATCTCCTTACGGTATAAATGAATGTATCAATCATTATACCATTAAAAATAGTAGGAATAATAAAACATTTCGTAGACAATCTTTATCTAAATTAAGAATTTGTGTCACTCTGATTGTATGGCAACTGTTACGTTAAACAAATGTATATCCCAAAAGCTAACCTAGAATATTAGTGTCGGCTGCTAGATCTTAAATACAAATAAGTTATTCAAATTCAAATTCTATCTCCGACAATCTCTTTCTCGCAAAGTTATCTAACTTTATTAGAAGAATGTGAAAATCTGTCTCGTGGTAATTCAGAATATTCCAATAAAAATAAACCAACATGTTTGGATAAAAACATCTTTCATAACCAACACAGTAAAATACTATTGCCGACAATATTTTAATAGATCAAGATTGAAATAATATTTTACAGTTAGGTATCTTTTGAGTTTGTCCAAGTAGGTTATGTCTCGTTTTAGTGTGTAATTATATCTGACTCATTCCAGTTCCTAATTGATTTAAGTTTTTTTTTTTTACAATAAAGGATGAACTTAATTTACTCGAACCAGCAATTATACATTTGAATAGTTTATCGTCAACTTAAATATTTAAAGCATTTTACTTAAACTGTCGAGTGATAGTAAAATCTTCTAGTGTTCTTATTTCATAAATGATTTATAAACATGGCCTTGGTAAAGCTTTTGAGATATTGAAGATATTCTAAGTTTGACAGTTTTATCTGTAAAATTTTTATCATTGTTGTATTGCTTCAACATGAGGTAAGAGTAGTGTTAGCAATTTGCAATAATATCCGTAACTGTTTAACGTTGGGTTATTTTCCCACTAAACTTTGCACAATCAATAAATTGCTTTGCAACTTACACATTGATTTCAGAATCGGTTGTGTTAGCTTATTATATTAGTAGTAGGCCTACAGTATTATATCTGAAAATATTTTATTAAGTTCTACAATTAATTTTAAACATATTTAGGATTGAATGAAATAATTTTATTTCTTTGTAACAGTTTGCCTGTATGACAAAAAATACAGTTGCATATTCAAATTTGGTAAAAGTATTGAAAAAATTAGTTCAACCACATACATAATTTGAAATAGTTTATCCCTCACGATGTTAGTATGGTTTTGAACCAGTTTTAAAATGTTTGGGTTTTTCAGGACTTAATTTAAAAAATAGTATGATTTTAAATTAAAGAACAAAACAATTTGTGTAATTAGGACAGAAGTTTATTATTACGAGTTCAAAATACAGTATGCCACTCGTTATTTGTTTAGTTTCCTATTACTTGCCCATTTTAGAAACGAAAGTTTTGAAAATTGCTGTAGATTAAAAAAACTGTTTTGTTAAATAGTTGTCGGATGTAAAAATTTCGCTGGATCCATTATAGAACACAACCTTACCAAGGCGCCACTAGAAAAACTTTACCTAACCATCTCAAGATCAATGGGACAGAAGTCTAATTGATTTTTAATGTTAAAGAAAGTCAAATGTTGTGACTGAAATACTGCTTTTGGTGACGTCAAAGAAACAGTTAGAATATTGTTTACAACACAAGTAAAGCAACCAGTTTCTATAAGAGATTTTTAACCAACTTCGTGGGACACCCTGTATAATATATCGTAGTTAACCCTCAATGGCGTTTTCAGGGCGTTGACGTTAGAAACTTGTCTACCATTGCTGATGATTTTGGTCCATACAGAAGCTTGGTTTATATCTTGGCCAGAGTGGGGCCGATGTCCCTACATGGATGTCAGTAACAAATTCAATCCTAAACAGGTATGTAAGCAAAGATATGCTCAAATCTAGCTGGGATGTTCAACGTTTTTAATAAAAATAGCAAAGGCATAAGCACACTGGTGCATATCCCAATAGCTTGACATTAAATTTGAATAACCTATTAGTTTTATTGTTAGAATGACTGAGCAGAGAGCTTTTCCATGGTGAAATCACAAATATTGTAATTACTTTTTGAACCGAAGTTTTTACAGAATTTTGAGTTATGCAATTTTGTAATTAAAGGATCTCGTAGCATACAAGGTTTTAACCAAACCAGTTTCATCCTATTAGCGAATATATGGGTTTCCCGATGTATAGGTTGTATAGAACAACCACCATCCAAATTCCATCAAAGTCGGACTATTAGAGAAGTATGTACACATATACTCATACAGTGATTAAATTGAAAACCACTTCCTTAGGTTCAAGGGAACCCAAAACCCGAACTCGAAAGTTTTACGGAAACAATATTATTTTGTACTCTATAAGAAAAACTATTATTTTGTACTCTAGGTGGAAAAACTAAAAATGAATCGAATCGTATGTGCCGTACGTGTCGTGTGTCGTGTGTGTCGTATGTCTCGTACGTGTGGTTTAGTTGGTTAAATCTTTAACACAATGTTTGCGAAAATAAAAATGTATTTCCCGGCAAAATATTCTAAAAATCTCACACTCGATCCGAAAATAATTCATAAAAACATTTCTTTCGTAACTGGACCTAACAATACTTGGTTGTTAAGAAATACTGACATAAGATACAGTTGATATTAGTTAGCAACAAAGCTTAAAAATGCATCATGTATATATATTCCTTGTTGGTAAACGATTAAATAGTGCCCTGTCTTGTAATATTACAAATACGTTGGGAGCATGGGACTTCGCGGTCCTTGAGGTCCCTGTTTCAAATCCCACCAATCACCAATGGATTTTATCTAAGTGATAATGCAGCAACCTCTAGGTCCAGCCTGAAGTATTGTAGAAAATGATACCTCTGTTTTTACAGTATTTCGATGGCACGTGGTACCTAAGAAAAGCTTACAACAACGAGTTTCTAGATGGAAGAGGACGATGCAGCTTCTCCAAATATTCCAACGACAAAACGTCGGGTTTGACGAAAGTTAAATTCCAACATTGGTCTATTTGGTTAGTATAAGACTTAACCACATTGGTCTATTTGGTTAGTATGGACTATACTAACTTTGGTCTATTGAGATCATACAATCATTGGTCTATTTGGTTGATATAATTATTTTTTTATATACCTATCATACAACTTTAAACATTATGAACCGCTGTAAATACCTACTTCGTTGTAGGCCTAATCTTAAATGTTAGTTTCATTTAGTTGCAATTAGTTTCATCTTCCACAACGTCATCTCCAGGCGTCGACGGATGTTTAAATTGCTCAAGGTGTCAGAAAATGTATCTTGTTCTTTATTATAGACATTTAATAAACGTAAACCTGTAACTAAATTAAAACCCAACGACAATTTTAGTCAAAATAAATTTGATAAATTGCAGGAAGAACGACTGGGCTTCTGAAAACGCTACACTGTCACGTGCAGAGAGTGACGCGAAATTTCTACTCAAGTTCCACGACAAATTCGGTGAGTTTAGAATATTAGCTATATAGGCAGCGGCAAGACAAAAGTGGCAACACCGCAATTCCGGCCTACCGAAACAGCTGTTGCACTAACTCATATTGGAGAACCTGCGCAGTATTTATGTTTACCAATTTGTTACCATGACAACAGGCCGACCGGTGCAACGTTGCCATACACAAAGGCCACAGTGCTGTTTATAGAGTTTTATCTTAACACCGCTAGATCAGTGTGGTTTTCAAGAGATATACTTGGATAGGTCTAGGATAAGAATTTTATCGTTTTGTGAATTTCGATTGCTTCATCATTTGTGTGTGAAATTGGCCATTATACTTTGTATTTAATTTATGCTAAGACCTTTTCTATGGACTCTTCTCTAAAATTTTGGACGAATTTTCCCATACTCAATACCCAAATATTACTATTACTTTGATTATTTTTTCCAATTTAATTAAAGAAACTTTCAATGTTTTAGGTTTCCTGGATGAAACCTTACCTTACTGGATCGTGGAAGTTGACGCCAAATACGAAAAGTACAGCATTGCTTACAGCTGTGAAAACGTCTTTCTTTTCTTCCACCAATGTAAGTATATATTTATACGAAAGTGTCATCCATTAAAACATGTGTGTAACATTTGAGCAGAAAAATACTTCTTGTTCATCAATTTTACCTCACTTCTCGTCGTGAATTTGAAAGTTCCTCTGTTAATTTTATTGAACGTGCTCTATACTAAATAAACTAAATAAATACAAAATTATCTGATGAGCAGTTCATAACTTCATCAATTGTATTTTAATCCGAAATTTAGGTTTTATTTTATGCAGACGATAACGTCTGACAAACCTCAGCTGTTGAGTTGAAGGTAGGGACTAATGGAGAAAATTGATCTTCCCCTAAACCTCCTGAATTCTGTGGACGAAGTACAAACTGTAATAATTATTTTTTGCAGACAGCAGCTGGGTAATGACCCGAGATCCAAGTTCAGATATCAAGTATATTGATGAGAGACTGCGCTATCACACGCTGGACCCGAGCTTGTTCGTCGAAATCGATCAATCGAGATGTCCGCCTGAATCTGCGTAGTAATAATTGCACCGATATTAGAGTGTTCTAATAAAACTTGTATGTGCTACAATCGTGTATTTTATTTTTACAGGAACAATAATGAATAAATTTTTGATTAAAATTATATAGGGGTTTATTGTACTGTGTCAATATCTATTTTCCGTCGACAGAATCGTAAGCAAATATTCGAGTAGAGAGTTAACAGATTTTTAGTAAGTTCGCTCGAAAACAGCAAACTATATTCGACGTGATAAAAAGTTATTCCCACGACCGAATCTCTAACCAAGGAAATTGCTTGATAAAATCTTCTGACAGCTTCATTTTACCTTCTTACTCCGATTATATTGTACTAGCAGCAAACCCCGGCTTAAAAAACCCGGGCTTTTACCTGGGCTTTTTTTGCCCGGGTAAAATTATACAATGTACAATGTACATTGTACAAGGCAGTGGTTATAGAATTAGTTTTTTTCAGTTTTCATAGATATACAAATATCTTGGTACCATTAAATCTAGAAATATGTTAAATATTCTTTGTAGCACACAATTCCTTAATTTGCAACTGAAATATTAACATCAGTTAAATTATCAAGCTGATCATAATGTAAACAAATATGTTCTTCATAAGGATAACATAGGAACTTTAAAAGCCACTGGGGCAGAAACCATGGGACTTTTTCAAAAAATGTATGGCCAGTTTGCAAATCTACACACCTAGACAAACATTTTGGTATATAATATGTGGGGTTAAATCTTAAAACAAAAAAGCCTTATTGTTCCCAAAGTTTCATGTAGCGTTAATAATATAGATAGACGGATAGTTACTTAACGAATACCTCATATTATCTGCGTATCGATTGAAAAAAAGCTACTGAAGCAAACGCCATTTTTAAAGTATTGGATGGAATTAATTTTCAGGTTTTAGCTTAACAGGTCTAAATTAGTTAATAAATAATAATTTTAAGCTGTTCGGAAAAAATATAAATCAGTAAATATAAAAGATATATTTATTTATAAAAAAATATATAAATGTACAATATGTAGATACTAAACAATGAGATGGCTTCAATCTGGACTAGACAATCGTTCCTCCTGAAACAGACAATTCATTTTGTTAGATTAAGATACGAAAAACTTAAAATATTTAGTTACTATTGCCTTATCAAATTGGCTTGTAATAAGACTTAAAAAATATTTTTGAGACGAAATTTTCAATTAATCGAAATCAGTTGTATTCCTCAAAAACATAATGTCATTATAGTATATACCTTGATGGTCTAACTACATAATAATATTTTGTTTTAAAAATCCGTTTACGTCCTCTGTAAATAATGTAAAGTTCATAATTCATTCGTTTCGTAGATTACTTTAAATACAGTATAAAAAATATAAACCTAAAATGTAAATCAGCTGTTATAAAGTTTAGTAAGTCAGATGGAAACGTTACCAAAACCATTACTCACACTGAGAAACAATAAAAAAATATTAAGTTTCCATTGGTTTTTAAGTTTAAAAATTACATTTGAATAAAGTTGTGCAACTGCCATAAAAATATGCCAAGAAATTTATACCTACTAAATTGTATAAATGATCTATTTGTAAATGGAGAGTTGGTGAAAACTGTATCCCTTATCCTTCATTTGATCGTCTGTAAAATTTTAAAATCAATTCTGTTCAATGTAATTCTACGCCACACTGTTTCAACGAACTTCCCACTCAAAGATCAGAATTCAGAATATTACAGAATACAGATCAGAATACAGATTTAGTACAGAATACAGCTGTTTGACGCCAGCTTAATCAAAAGGGGTTTCATTACGTACTACAGGACACCAACCAGCTGATTATGAAAAAGTGATTATAAACAAAAACATAACCTCTATTAGATGTTATGAGTAGTGATTTTTAGTCCTTTAGTCGGTGGAAATGTTTAAGGATTTGTACAGATTGTTTTGTTTAGTTAGTTAAAAGTAGTGTGGCGTAAAATATCGTAGTCACACTTCCAAAATGTGTTTACCTTACTCGAATGATAATCCCGCACTTTGACTTCGTTTCGCACGGCAACGACCACACTCGTCCGGGAAACACTCATTTTCAGGACTATTAACGTAATTACTCTCATGTAATAATCAAAAGACAGGCTAAACTACAATGATTAAAATGTAGTGTAGTTAATATAGTTTTAGGACCAAGCTGATCAAGTGAGCGCAGGAATTCGATCCCCAAGCTGCTGAGTTATATCCCGCTGACCAATGTATTTTACCTAAGTAATCCTGCAACCTCTAGGTCTAGTAATGTGAAAAGAAAAGATCGAGGGCTAGCGTCCTATATTTTTAAGAGAAAAACAGTTTATGGAATAATTATTATACTCACCCTCTCCTTCAGTCTACCACGAGTGGTCTGCTAGGTTGAGGGAGCTGTGTAGGGAGCCACTGTATGTTGAGCCACTGTGGGTTGAGCCACCGTATAGGGAGCCACCGTGTAGTGAGCCACTGTAAAGTGAGCCACCGTACAGGGAGCCACCGTGTAAAGAGCCACCATATCCTCCAACGTTCAAGGTTGTAGCGGGAAGTGACGAAACAGACGCTTGGCCAAGATTTCCAACGAAAAGAGACTTGTGAATAATAGGTTGCGGTACAGAAACAGCTACGTGCTTATAAACAGGAACAGGGTGTGGTACAGGAACAGCTACGTTCTTATACACAGGAACTGCAACGGGTTTGGGAACAGGTACCGCAACTGGTCTCGGAACGGGAACGGCTACCGGGTGTGGAACAGCGTAAGGAACTGGTTTATCAACGGGAACGGCGACAGGCTTCTCGACGGGAACGGCTACTGGATGAGGAACTGGAACGGGGTAGGGACGATCCACGGGGACTTGTACAGGGTGAGGAACTGGTACCGCGACTGTTCTCTCGACAGTGACAGGGTACGGTTGGGCGACTGGAACTGCGATCCTGTTTGTAACAGTGATGTGACGGGAGATGATTGAAGGGGCTCCAACTGAACTGGAGCCTATGAGGCTAGGAGATCCAACAAAAGACCCTAGAGCGAGGCTAGGAGATGCAACGGCACCCGAAGATCCCAAAGCGAGGCTAGATGTGTCCACGGCACTGGATGAACCAATGGGAAGGCTAGATCCAAGACTATTGAGGCTGGCTGAACCATATCCTCCACCGTAGCCCAAACTGGCTCCGTATAAACCTCTCTTGTCCTTATTGGCAATCTTCGTTTCTTTGGCAGAAACAAGAGTCGTGACAAAGAGAACAACGAAGAGTGCCTGGAACAAAAAAAATGTATTATTATATTTTTGAACCAAACGAATGCAAAAGTAGGATTACAAATTTCAAGTAGGCTACTTTTGAAAAATATAGACCTATGCAGGCCCTACATATAACAACAATGTATAGGAATGAACATCAAATACTGTATTTAAATTCAAACCACAATTGAAACGCATACGTGTGGTATTTGTTATTAATGAAGATAATTTTATTGACTTTTGCATACTGAATCAGACATCTTATCTACATGGACCAGCCGTTGAATTTTTTTTTTAACACAGTTGGATAAACTATCTCTGAATGATTGATTCTAAAATTATATTGTCTACATTTTTTCAGAGATAGTTGAAGTGACTTGAAAGATGTTCTCACAAAAAGTCTGTCAACTATCAGTTTTACTTGCTTAAAAAGATTACCTATTTAACTAAACAGAAATAAGTAAATGTCTCATTCCTATCTTACTAACTACTTATGTTTCATAAACTCGTTTGTATATTGTTTAAAATTTGACTGGAAGTAATTCAATTGAAGTCATTCAACTGTTAATTACAATTTCAAATATTAAAACATTACTGGATCTTTAAAAGCACCCTCTAGAAATAAAACATAAAACCTACCGGAGCGGTGCCTTAGGAAATGAATCTTTAGTTACGTATTCGTAAATGACACAGTCGTCAAAATCTGTTAAGTATGTCAAAAAAGGGAAACAGAGAAAAAGTGTGTGTACTTAAAAGATTTTAAAAACAAAATTCTCTAAATAAATAAACATCCAAGCATTTCAGTCTTAGTTGACCATGTCTAGAGATAAGACTTACCCGGGAGTCCATGGTGTTATGTGAGATGTCCCAAGCTTCAGTTGTATATATAAGGCAGCCAGGGCAGGGCTCCGTCGTGTAGTGAATCTTGATGACATTTACTCGAGAAGAGCTTTAAAAGGTGGCTAAATGAACACCAGTTTGATCGTAACATTAGAGATTCTTACACTTTTAACATGTTAGACTATATCTGTAAAATCTGAAACTGGGGATACTACAATTTGAAAGTTAACAAATGTAGAAGATTTTTGAACGTTTTCCGTATTTGGGAAAACGTAAGATTTTATGGGAACCGGATTCAGTTGTAGAGGAACAATTTCTTAAGATTTTTCATGTAAATGTGATATGATTATTAAATTATCTGTACAAAATTGTTTATCATACATTAGCTGTTGGGGACATTATCGTTTCTTTGTCATAATGTTATATTTTGTTCTCATGTTTGCAGATTTTATTCCATATCGATAAGCTGTGTGGGTTATGAACTATGAAAATTTTCACACATATTTTTTATTATTTTTATTTTAAAACGAAAGTACCCACAGGCTTCACTCCGTTTGACTTCATAAGTAGGCATATTAATAAAACTATTGATTGGTTAAGTTAGGCTGAAATAAAAAAGAATACAGTAATACCATTGGTAATACAAACAAATAAGTACAGCTGGGGTATTTTTAACATTAGGTATCTGGAGAGTTCACTTTAGAAATGAATTACGACCTTAAAGGGCGAAATGAAATAATGAATAGTTTTGCGCAAGGTTTCTCGTAATGGCGAACATTTTAAGTATGTTTTATGGGGGTGTGACTTGTATTTTTCTCAAAAGTTCATGGGTACTTTGGGATTTATATATGGATTTCACCTTTTCATGAACATTTCCATGAACACTTAAAATGAAAACTTTGGTTTTTGGTGTACATTTAAACAAATGTTAACGTTTTAATCACTTTTTTCAACCTACAAATTTAAAATAATTCGTGTAGATACATTGTTAGTGTAGATAATATTAAAACTTTCCTCTATTTCCCCCCCATCATACATATTTTCCAAAATCAACGATATTTTCCTCATCAAACTATATTTACATTCATCTAAATCTTTCCAAAACAATTTTCCCTTCATCAACAATATTTCATATAATCAAAAATAACAATTGTGGTTTCCTTAGCAATAATATTTCCCTCATCCATCATAATTCCCATAACCAACAATATTTCCCCCAAAGTTATCATTAACTATATCAATCCCCTCATTAACTATATTTTTCGTCAACAGCCTTCCTTTATCAACCACATTTTTCTTCGAGGACTATGTTTTTCCTAAACAAATTATATTTTTTCTTATCACCTCCTGAACTAGATTTTCCCTCGACAATTAGACTTTCCCTAAACTACATTTTTCACCTATATTTTCCTTTATACATTTTATTCAACAACCATACTATCATTCAACTCAATTTGCCCTCCTTTAAGACAGAAACCACCGGAAGATGCGATTGAAGCGGTCACATTCCACGATCCCGGACAACAACCAAATATGGCGACTACATCTCGACCTGTTACCGTTCTCATCATGGGACTACAGCTATTGTATCATCTTGTTGAATAATACTATTGAATGCGAATCGATTAGATAATGGCCATTGTTTTATCACGATTGGGGAAATCTGGGAGGGTATTCAATTGTTGAGGTAAAATCATTACTTAAAGGATCTTACAAAGTGTCAATCTGTGCCATATCTTAGTGTGATGATTCATTCCCTAATCCACCTCTTGAGGGAGATATCCACAAGATATACTATTTCAGCTTCGAGTATTTTAGATAAGAACTGAATTACAAAGTGAACTCTAAAGAATTACCCGCCATTTTACTGCTTGTCATTGATTTATTGGCTTCTATGGAATTACAACCTCATAAATGTCATATTATACATAAAGTTAACAGTTATATTTGTTATCATCATAAATGTTATACATTACCTTAAACTACTGCTATAAGTACACTTTTCACTCCCGTATTAAGTTGTGGTCAGTTCATTAAAAAAAAATTTACTTTGGTAATTTTAGCCACTAACCTACTTTGTTAAATTACTTATTTCTGTTGTCCAAACCAACCTTTACCAAGTCAAAATTATAGTATACCCCCACTGTATTTCTAGAACATAGTTTATATCATAAAGTATTAAGAATTAGATAAAAAAGAATTTCGTCAGCTCTGTCAGTTGTAAATCATTCTAGTATGTTCCAGCCGAACATAAAATTGGCTACAGCTATGTCATAAATTAGATTTTTTATAGGGACACAGACACACTGAATGCAAATTTCAAAACGAAGACGAGTAAACGGATGAGTGAACGAGATGAAAACTTTGTTACCTAGAAAGATCGACTTACTTTTTAGTTTTGACTATTGAAACAACCGGACATTCCATCCCCATGTTAAGGTCATACCAGTTTCAAAATCAAAATCGTCGTAGTTGACGTGAGACCCTGACAGATTGGGCTGATCTAAATTACTAATTTTAGTCGAATACTCGAATTTGTTTACCAAATCAAACTAATGAAATGACTTACATTGGGCTATATCAACTGTTGAGACTCATCAAGTTGGTGAGAAACAAAATATTACTTAAGGTGGACAATAGAATTAAGGACACTAGTGCATTCTGTAATTGGCTCACACAACTATGTGTTTTATACAGGATGAGGCAATGAGAACGTTACAATTTGTTTTACCTGTCACATGTTAATTGCAACAATGAATGCTCAGCTGTGCTTAAAACATCAATTAAACTATGCCATTTTAGTAAATATTATGCCTAAAGTTATTAACACTGAGATTTTGATGTGGAAACCTATTTTAAAAATAAGTGATTATTGTGCAAAAACCCAGAGATTGTTTGGACCACATTCCATCCTTGGTCAACATGGCACTGTATCAGATTGAAAAACAATGGTGAAATGGGTAAAATTATTTAGGATAATCGCTTGAACAAAAAAAAAAATCGGTGGGTGCCGCAAAACTCATTGTACACCAGCAAATGTTAAAAGAATATGAGTCCCAGTAACTCAAAGTCCGAAGAGGAGGCCAGGAAGCTTTTGTTGTTGAAAGCTTTACGTTGGCTAGTATGTGTTGTTCTAATAAGCTACTTGACGTTCTAGGTTTTTCAAAGTCACCCCACAGATTGTCACCCTTGAACCGAAGCTAAGGATAGTCCAAAAACTAATGTGATTCCTGAAGAAGTGCTGGAGGAGTATTTGATGGTGTTTCAAGTGGCTAAAAAGGAATGTCAAGTAGGACAATGAAGTCACTTGTAGGATTTTTTTATCAAGAAATGGAAAAATGACTTTGTTAAGTTAAAATGGCAAAAGATAAGCTGTGTTTTGGTGTGCTATTTATATCCATAGAGTGAATATTATTGAGTTTGTAATGTTTATAAATTGGGGCGCTTTCATTGCCCCACCCTGTATAACAAATTGCGACTGTTTAGTCTCATATAGATGGGATGTCTACTTCAGTATCTAGTCAATGCTCCAACACATATTTCTAACTATTATATTTCATCCAAACAAAACAGTGTAAATTTTGTTTTACCAGAATTTGACTTTTGACTTTTTATTAGGTTTCCCAAGGCTCGAACCCTGGTACGGTCACATTGTAAGGACGGCAATGTTGCGCGTCTTGCGGTCAGACGCTTTCACATTTGATTTATCATCTCAGCTGGTTCTTCTTCTGGACCAGTTACCCTGTTGTGTAACCATGGTAACCCCGTCGTTTATAGGTTAATGTTGACTTAGTTAGGACCATTGTAACGTTGTAATGATTGATGGTACGATTGAATTGTTTGTGTTGTGCCTGATTTATTAGGAAGCTGTTTGTTTATTAGTTGTGCTGAATTTGAGAAGTGGTTATTTCTTTTTGGTTTGTTACCGTCAAAGGTTTGCCTTTTTCATTAAGTGCATTATCTCATATTTATTTTCTGTTAAAACACAATATTTTTTTCCAATGTGTTTCAATATATTAATGCACTGAATTGAGTGTAAGTGTAACTTAGTCTTTTCAGGTATGTCAGTATAGTACAAGAAAACTAAATATTTTACATTGGATTAAACTTTTATTTCTATTTAATAATTGCTGTTTTAATACCGTGTATTAATTATTGAAAATTCATTAGACGTAATGAAAAAGTATATTTTACCGAGATAAAATTACTACGAATGAACATTAAAAATATGAACATAGAAAAGGAAACAAGCAAACATATGTTAATTCTAACATCTGCATATTATTACAACAATTGCAAAGGTGCAAAGTACCTTTGTAACTCATTGTGGACTTTAGCGCATCCCGATTCCTACTCCATAGCCCGTAATTTTTTAAGTACATTTCATCATCCTGCCCTTATGATAAGCTCATAAGCTCATAAGCTCTGCATAAATCAAATATTTGATTCTCACCGTGGTTCCTAGGGTACTTTTCCTTACTTCAGTTAAATCTGTACACGTCAAGCAGTAAATTGACGTCATTCTTAGATTGCCTACAAAAACATTATTAAAATGTTATTTTATTTGTTAGATTTTACTTCAAAATTATACATGACTGCTCTGTCATTATATTGGTCAATTTTCCCACTTAGCAAACTTTTTATGAAGAAAATAGGCTATTACTGTAGGCGGCACGGTAAGACCTAGACCCGGCACCTTATGAAGGAAAGGTTAACTTTCGTAGTTTACTTGTTTTGTATATATTATTAATTTGGCAATTTATTTTATTTTATACTATACTATTCACATTTTACAAAAAAACTTGTCTCCTTCCCTGTAGCAGCAAACCTAAGCCCTCGTTAAATCTAGTGTTATTTTAAAAGGAAATAAATTTGAAACTTAAAAAATTTTAGTAAAATATTTGATTACTAATGTATATTGTCTTTCCTCTGAAATTTGAATTAGCGAGGTTCTACTGTACATGTTTGTAATACGAGTAAGTTCATGAGAAAATACAAATTGACGTAGTCATCTTTTCAGGATG